CTACACGGACACAGTAAATCCTCTCCGATTTTTCTCAACCGTCACGTGTGGCAGGCAGATTGACGATCGAAGACATAGCAGACCTTTGTCGCTGCTACTGGTCTGAGTATTTTTCAACTGACGTAAACGAAGTGCTATCACGTTATCTCTCTAAATCATAAGATCCCTTCGGCATATCCTCCCAGAATAGCCTTTTACGACACCCACGGGACGAAATGGGGTGATCGATTCTTTTATTAAGTATTTTTGACTTTCACTCTGATTAGAGAAGTATCGTCAAAGGTTTGTTGTTGTGAAGGCTTACCCCCTGAAAAATGGAATATTGCGGTTAAATCTTACCTTTAAAGGGAGAGATCGATATCCAAAGTAGATTGTTTGCGAACTGAGATAATAAAAAGATAAGGAGGAATAATAATTATTTGAAGCATAATTCTAAAATATAACATCGATAAATTAGAAATATTTGGAAGCTATTGGGCGTAACATATGTATCCGTGTGTAGTGAATTTGTCCTGTTATTTAATATCCTCCACTTTGTTTTATATTTTTGTTGAATCAACTCAACTTCACGTTTATTTGTTGAAGCAACAACAACGTCGTTTATAGTGTTCAATTTTACTAGATATTAAACGTAACATACCGACTGTCAATCTTTACTCATCATGGCGTTTTTATATTATAATAAAGCATCAACATTAAGTAAGTTTTTTTTTCATTAATAATGTCTGATACGCACACGAAAAATTCTAGAATCATCCAAAATTTCATTTACAATTTAAAGCCAAACTTTTAATCAGGTTTTTGACTATTTTTTTTTAAATTGAAGTTACATACAAACTTACAGTCCACCTGATGGTAGACGGCTAATGCCGCCCATGGACGCCTGCAACCAACTTCATTAAAAGATGCTACAAATTCGTTTCACTTTTTAGGACTAAGATGGGATGAGTGATAAGGCTGCTTCCGTCCGTAGGAAATACGTAAAAGTTGACTCCCTACACGTGTCCCCCTGGGTAGTGCTAAGCGAGCAGCGCCAATTCCGGTGGTAGGTTTCAGCCGCTAGCTTTTAGGTTACCGCCAACCAATGATGTCGTGTTGCCAAATGCGGTTTTCGTGTTCCGGCATAATGCTTGGTAAAGCCATACGGCGAATGGGCCTTAACAATAACTTAATGTGTGTGAACCGGGTGCAAAGCGTCAGTTGTTGACACGTCGAGTGCTTGGTCATGGAAGGTAGCGGGATCCAAAGCACGATGTTCCGCTGCTTGACTACAGGTAGTTTCTTTTTATATAGAAAAAGTGGCAAACGAGTATATGGCTCACCTGATGGTAAGTGAGTACCGCCGCCCATGAACAACCGCAACATCAAGAGAATGGCAGATGCGTTGCCGGCCTTTTAGAAAGTAGTAAGCTCTTTTCTTAAATGTCCTTAAGTCGTATCGGTCCGGAAAAATCGCCGATGGTAAACAATTCCACAGAGAAGTTCTAAGAGGACTAAAACTTTTAGTAAAACGCACAGTGGGAGACCGGAAACGGACAGAAGGTGAGGATGGTATCGTGAGTTTTGACGCGATGTGCGTTCGTGATGGCGGCTGGAATCAATCCGAACAATTCCGCAGAACACATCCCTACGCAGCGCCAGTGAATTGAGCCAATCAGAGAGAACATGGTTATCGACGATTCGGAACGCTCTACGTTGGATGCGGCAAGTGGAAGAAGCTGGCTCTAAGCTGCCCCGGCCCAGAGATGATAACAGTATTTAATGTAAGGCCGAACTTGCGCTTTGTAAAGTTGCAAGCGATGTGCCGGCACTAAATACTGTCTCGATCTCCTAAGCACACCAAGCTTTTTAGTGGCCAATTTGGCCTTCCCCTGCAAATTGCAACGTAGCATTGATATATAGAGGAAACAGCGTAGGCGATAACACACAGCCTTGTGGAACTATGCCTCCTCCTTAGACTTCTGCCTCCCATCTATAATTCAGGTAGACCAGAAGATCACTAGCTGATCGACCACGACGAAAACCGTTTTGGCGGTCACTAATCAGCTGGTGATCCTCAAGGTACCCCATGAGCTAGCAGTTTATAATGGACTCAATTATTTTGGAGAACAAGGAGGTGATGGCGATGGGCCTGTAGTTGGATGGGTCTGAGCGGTCACCTTTTTTAGGGACTAAAATTTCACCCGGACCAAAATTGTCTTCCATGAATTCGGAACTACGCCTTGGAAGTAGGTGTACCTGCGTTAAAACCAGTGCTAACTCTAAAGCACATGTCTTCAGCACGATGGAAGGGACTCCATCAGGGCCGCTCGACTTGCTGACGTCTAAGGAGAGGAGTGCTTTGCAAACCGAGCGCTGTGTAAACCGCACATCCGGCATGGAGCACTCACACCGCGGGATGCTCGGTGGTGTGTTCACTCCGTCATTGAGAGTCGAGTTGGACACAAAGAGAGAGCCTAACAGATTAGCTTTCTTCTTTGCAACATGGACCAGTAAGTCGTCCTCTCTGTGCAGAGATGGAAGAAATAACTGACAGAAGTTCTCTTGGACAGCCTTGGCGAGAGAACAGAATGCACGGAATGCCGAAGGAAGGCGAACTAGCTTCTCGCCAATTCTACTGATGTGCTCAGACTTTGCCTTGGCAATGACTCTTTTGATGTACCTAGAGGCGGAATTATACTTCCTTTGAAGAGCGCTGGTGTTTACATCCCGAGACGTTGATGCGTCACCCCAGTCGCGGTAGCACTTCTAATTATTGCGTGATGCTATTTTTCAGGAGCGACCAAACCATGGCTGGAATCTGCCTCCAATGGGCACCACAAAGGATGGAATCTAAAAATTCCATAACCTGAAGTACCACATCATCGACAGAATCAGCAACAAGGCTGGGATCGCCCGGCGAGAAGCAAGCCCGCCCCTAAGCGTAGGATGCATTAAAAGACCGCATCCGATCCCAATCGTCCTATCTATGGTGACAAATACGGCGGCAGACTGCAGAATGCAACCGCGACATTAATGTGACTGGCATCAAACTCCGGACAAGCCAATGGTCCGACTAACCTAGTGTAACGGCCCATCATTATCATTAATAATTAATAATCAATTTCTATATAAGGGGGCATCAAAAAATAGTCTTAAAAAATATATATTAAACAATAATAAGCATAAAGTTAAAAATAAATATGTGAGAATGCTATTTGGTGGCATAAATGGGCAAGTGGGTATTAACTAACTAGAAGGGCTCCTAAGCTGAAAATGACTCCGGTCTTGGATTGTTCTAGAATATTTTTCTGTATAACTAACACGTGGCAAAGAAATTTTATGGACAATGCCCAATCGCAGTAGAGCTTGCACCAAAGGTCTATTACTCTCACATTTAACTATATTACATAGAAATGTCTAGTATTTCCATAATTCTCAATAACTTTAGATTTTCATTTGTAAATAATGGCTCATATAATGTTCTTAAAGTAGGCGTTATTAATATTATTTCTTAACCTTAATTTACAGTTATTTTTCTGATACTGTAGTGTTTGTTTTTTAACGTTCCGTGCCAAAATTACAACACTAAAATCATTCTAGATACAGAACACTGGTTCCAGAATTATTATTCGGTTCTTCTTTCTTCTTCCTTTTTTTATAATTTCTTGGATAAGCCGGTGATACGTTTATGGTGGTGATACGTTGATACGATTATGCAAGGATGTAAATTAAAAACTCAAATACAAGGTGCGTTTTTACTCTTAAGCTGAAATGAAATGCTTCGTTATCAGTAAAAAGAGTCACTGGATCTCATCATTCATCATACGAAACACAGGTAGTTATATTATAGTTCTAATTAACCATGGTGTTCTGTAAAACTTCCTTCCTGAGTCAAATACAGCGTAGCTCTACCGAGTAAAAGTTATATGGGTATGTAAACTTCTTTATATTTACGGTTTTCGTCCTCTATCTGAATTAGAGTTTTTTTAATAGGATGAGGTGACAAACGAGCACATAGTCCACCTGATGGTAAGTGGTTGCTTTGTCTACTTCTATCCTCGATTAAAAATGAAAATGCAGACGCGTTGTCACCCGTGAGGACTAAGATGGAATGCCTCGTTTCCAGTAAAGAGGGTATTCGGTTCTCTACACTCACCATACGAAACACAGCAGCATTAAGCTACTATTTCTGTGAGAGCGTGATCAAGCCGACTCATTCGTGCTACAACTATACTACTTACTTAATATGACTGCAGCATGGCTCTACCACGTCAAAACGAGTTACACTATAACACTTTACTACACACTATAACAATTTAAACTAGGTAACCACTTTAATAACTACGATGATAATGTGACTGTTACTTAATGCTAAAAAACAGTATGTGATACAAAAATCCGTCCACATTATTTTAATGGAAAAAACATAATTTTGTGCTTTTGACTCAAACATTTTATACTTTAATATTTCTGGAACAAACTTTTGCGCATTCAGCACGAAGTCGCAGCTATCAATATACACGTGTAATAAAATGTATACTTAATTTCATGTTGTAAATTATCATTGCCTTATTATGAAGTGTTTTTCAAGGGATAAGTAATTAAAGTTTTGATATAGCGATGATCGATAAGACAGCTTAATGAGTTTGCCGATGAGCCTGTAGGATCACAGTTTGTTCATATGAGACGTGCGAAAGGCTGGCTGCAGCTGCGTGTCCACCGAAAATATACTAAAATAAATCATATTTAATGATTAAAATCGTTGATAATAAACAGTTTTTTACAATTTCAATAACATCATAAAGTGAAGTGGGTGATTTAGTGCAATTAACAATAACAACAGGAGCTAAATCAGTTTCAAATGGTTTTCGTAAATCGATATAGTACGCAAATGATCGCTCATATCGATATTGCAGTGATACCACTGAAAAATAAACCCTAGTTAATTATATCTTTAAGTTCATACGTAATGATTACACACATAAAAGTTTAGCGACCGAGTCTCCTCGATCTTTGGAATGAACGAAGGTAATTTACTATTTTTATTTGTTTTCATTTACCAATTTTAGACTGTAAAGCATGTCATCTACTAAGACGATCACTGAGAACTATCTCAGTGATAGAGAGGTATTTATAGCCTTTTTTGTTTGTAGTTGGTTGCCGTCTTGCCTAGTAATACTTCTTATCTTCCTTTCTTTCAATTCTTTATAGGTTATGTTAGGTAGTCATTTTTAAGTTTTAACGAGACTAAAGGACGGTAATTTTTTTTATATACCTACTAGCTTGCCAGGCTTGCCAGGCAAAAATTCTTGAATTCGCAAAAAAAAATTGTGGGTCACTCTTGGGCAAAAAAACTATCCTATCTCTCAAATTGGACCAAACTGCACACGGTGTGCGAATTTGATTAAAATCAGTTAAGTAGTTTAGGAGTCCATCGCGGACAAACAACGTGACACGTAATTTATATATATTAAGATAGAGATTTCATTCGTTATTAGAAAAGAATTCAAAGGACGTACTTAATATTTTTTTTAATTCTTTTCTTCAGAGGGTAGTAAAAGCTAGATAACGATGTTGGAGTGTGAACAGCGACCTACGACCTGGTAAACCATTCGGTAAACTTGTCGGAGACGGCAAAAATTTGCATGGGTATAATATTTCCGAATCTAAAACAAAAAAGTTCGAAAAAAGTTATCAATCATTAATTTTATCATCATCATTACATCTCTTCACAAATCCACAGCTAAACAGGTGCCTCCCTAAGAGGCAGCACGAAACAAGGTCCTGAGTTAACTGCATCCATCGACTTCCAGCATCTCTTACCAGGTTGCCACTCCATCTAATGGGGGTTTCCCTCCACAAGGCTGCCACTCGAGAACTTTCGTCCTCATCGCTTGCCAGTTCTTTGGTTTATATGGCCAGTCGGTTGCCACTTCAACTTACTGATCCGTTAGGATATGCTGGTTACTCTGGATCTAGAGCGAATATCATCGATACGAATTCTATTAAGCAAAGAAATTCTTAGAATAAATTCTCTTAGAATAAATAAATAGAATTGAATTGAATTTTATAGATTACAAGAATATTTACTGAGTTATTTAAGCTTTCCACTGTTTCGGAAAATCCTTTGTTCTGAGAAGAACAAGTAAAAAACCCTGCCGGACTTTTTTAAACATTGATTTACAATATAATATTTTGTACAATTAAGTATTAAAATCTTTAGAAACACTTTTTTATAATATCTAAAATAATCATATTTTTAATTTATTTTTATTTAAAATTTATACGTCTCGTGTCAATTGTACTACAGGTGTCGAGTCTAGAAAGGTGAAGCGCGACGAAAACGTATCGTCCGACGACGAGTTAGGAACAGACACAGTTATGCATTGTGTCGTTGGTGGAGCTCATGCATTCATTTTGAGGGTAAACTGTTAAATTAGTGTTATCGATAAAAACCCGGCGCATCACTGCACCATGCTAAATGGCCCGCGAGCAAAAATGCAATATCACCAATGCCCGCGTTTTATAGCCGCAACCACTCCTACCGTTGGTGTTCACTATAATGATGCATGTTTCACATAAGCGAAATGACATTCTACACATTTCATAGCACTTTTATGAATGTTTTAAGTAGTTTGTGTGGGAAAAAATGGTCTTTTGTTATCTTTTTAACTTCCCAGGGAAGTTATTGTAATGGGTCCGATTTTGCAAATTGGAAATTTTAACACAGAAACTACGGTGATACCGTGTTTCAAGGTCTTTAGAGTCGAATAGTATGGTTTTAACAGGATTTCCGTGTGTTCACATGTACATATGTATGTATATATGTATGTATGTATGTATGTATGTATGTGTGTGTGTGTGTATGTATGTATGTATGTTCGGATTCAATTTTCCCCTCGTGTATCTCGAGAACAAAGAGTGATATTGACATGGGACCATGTTTCATTTAACGCATAATTATATAACTTAGAACTAATTAAATTTTGAGCAAAATCGGTCAAGTATAAAATATTAAAACATATGATATTTTTTTATTATTTCCACTGGGAAGTTAGTCGTGTGGACCTTGCGTAATGTTACCAATATAGTACGTGAGGGTAATATGGTCATTCGGTAAATATGGTCACTTTCTTATTCCGCAAAAGCTACAGCTTTGTTTGCATAGATGGCAGGGACAAAAGGGCGCTGCTTTATCGACGTCATTTTGACAGTTGACATTATAGTTAATATTTTAGGCGATTTTAGTACTGTAGTAGTAGTGTAGTGTAGTAAGTGTTCCTAATTATTGCCAAAACTAGTTTGTTATTATTTCCTTAATATATGAGTTATAGTATACGACTTTGTATTTTTGTCTCTGTCCTCCTTCTAGTTTTGGTTTTATAGGGCAGCAAAGCTTAAGATGACCATATTACTCTCACATACCTTATTTTATAACGTCATATTAGATTGATCAATAAGTTTTCGGAATAGGACACTTATCAATGAGTAATAGAAATGCGTTATATTTTTATTTAATCTTAAATTCGTTAGAAGCTAAAGCCAGAAAAACTAAATTAAAAACTTTACTTAATTTTTTCTGAAACTTCATATTTGGCGGGTCTTAGTCTACAATGGCATACTGGTGCGCTGAATTTAAGCGCGGCAAAATCGCCTGCAATGACGACACTGGCTCTGGACGGCCAACAACGGTCGCTACGCAAGGAAGCGTTAAAAAATCTGAATAATTTGTTAAGATAGATCGACGTGTGGCCATCCGTTATTTAGCTAAGATTCTAAAGCTTTCGTTAGGGAAAATTCTGTTTATTTTAACTCATACCTTAAAATTCAAAAAGGTGGCCGCGCGCTGGTTTCCTCGAATATTAACAGACGCCCAAAAGAAAGCAAGAGTTGGCATTTGAAAGCTAAATTTAGCAATAGTTAAAGAAGATTCTTTTTGCACCCTTTTCGTAACCATAGATCAAACGTGGGTACACTATTTTGACCTAGAGACGCAAAAGCAAAGCAAAGTGTGGAAAAGACCGTCTTCCCTGCCAGCCAAGAGATTCTGAGTCTGCTGGAATAATAATGGCCTCTGCTTTCGGGGATGCGGGAGGTATAATAATAATGTAAAGGAGAAACAATACCCGGAGATTATTACACATCATTATTAAGAAAACACCGATAACTAGGATGAGGTGATGGGTGTTGTAGAGGCCTTTTTCAAGTTCCAGGACCAAGTAATTTTTCCAAGGGAATTAACTAACTTGATAAACGCTGTTCAAGGTGTCTTAGCTTAAAAACGATTACGTTGAAAAAGAAATACAATTTACATACTATGTAATTATCTTAGAGTTTCATTGCGTTTCGAAAAACTTATTGACCAACCTAGTACAGGGGTCGGCAACCTTTTAAGTCAGAAAAGTCAAAAATTACAAGAAACAAAATTTCAAAGTTTTTAAAGAGCCACAAATTTTTTCATGCCGACCGCAAATAGTACTTGCGAATAAAGTTTTCATAAGAAAATTATATATTATATAAAAGTAGTGTTTTTTTTTACAATAAATTAGAATCTAATTTATGTTATTATTATCTATTATATATATATATATATACGCATACACACATGTTTTTTTTAATCGATCAATCACTTTTCTAGAAATCTAGTATCAACTTCAAATGGCCCAGTGTGGATTTCGTGTGTGTGGGTGCGGTGAAAAGCGAGTACAAGTGGCTGAGAGATAGAAAATGGTGCCTAATACTCGTTAATCGATTCAGAACGATTCATAAATGTTTTTATTATAAAATAATTAATATTTTGCATATGGAAGTAAAGAGCCGCAGCTTCACATCCAAAGAGCCGCATGTAGCTCGCGAGCCGCAGGTTGCCGACCCCTGACCTAGTACAAATATATAAATGACAGTCTAACTAATCTCTAAGCTTTTAATTTATTGTGGATATATGTACCCCACACAGAGATATAAGTTTATAATAATATAACAATGAAAATAATTTACAGATATCCAGTTTTTTCGGTCTAGCACCGTTACGGTTTGAGTCACGTTGCAATGGATTCACCGTCTCCATTTCGAACGCTATGTGTATCTACAGCTACATCCTCGTTACAACCCTAGGTAAACTCAGAATTAAAGAAACATTTATTATTTTTCAACCGACTTCAAAAAAAGAGGATGTTCTCAATTCGACTGTATTTTTTATGTTTGTGTGTTACCTTAGAATTTTTTCTGGGTAACGATTTTGATAATTCTTTTTTTATTTGAAATCTGGTGTTTTTCATGTAGTCTCATATAAATTTGATCAAGATCTGTAACAATTTCGTAGCTTTTTAAGGGAAGACTGTAGACTAGAAATTTTATTTATTTTGTTCACACCTTGTGTACTTATGTAGATAATATATCAAAAACTGTGGGAATTTTTTAAATAAAAATTGAGCATTTATTAATTAACTTAAAAATATCTTTAATCGTATCCTTATCATACTCATAATTTTCTTGTAAAATGGTGTAAAAATAAATTTAAAAAAAACTATTAAATATTTGGAAAATCCAAAAGTGCACACCTCGAACGCTCATGTAATTTTTTTAATAACCAATGTACTTTTATTAATAACCGAAACACGTATTTCGTTTAAAGCTTAAAAAATTGTTTCTGTTTAATAGACACGAATTTTTTTATACTGCTTGATACCAGTAAACGAGACGGTTTACGTTAGTGAAATTCAACGGGCTTTTAAAGGATTTAAATATAATATAATAAATAGTAACATAATAAAGCTAATAAAAAAAATCAAAGTGATAAGTTCAGTTTTTCGAAACATATCTTGTTCACATTTATACCGGCCAACTGACGTCCAAGTAAAGTTATTATCTGTTAACTTTTTTTAATAATAATCGAAATATAACTACGTCGGAAGTATAGACTGAAATCTCCTCTTGCTATTGGTGTCCTTTTTTATTATATAAGTGCAATATAAAGCTGGTACAAATGATTTAAGTTGAGTGGATCGCGATTCTTTAATTTGGTGACAATAGAACACTCCACTTCTACACTCCGCTACGCGTTCGATATGTGCAAAATCAATTTTAAAGACTTTGTTTAAAATTGCAGACCCAAAATGTTTTCTTCTATCATATAGTTTATACAACCAGCGTAGGATTTGAAATGTAATATCATTAATAGACTAAGTTTAATCAAGACCTCAGTGGCGTTGCAAAGGGCTTCAGGGGGATGATGACCCAGTGCGTACATTTATTGATGTTATTTAACGACTCAATAAAATCTGAAAAATAGTTTCTTCGTGAAGACTTGATTAAAATTTAGCGAACATTGTAGCATTGAAATTTCTGAAATTATAGACATACACATTTGCCAAAGAGTAGGGATATGTGAAAATTACATTATATTATTTTATTCATTTTAAAATAAAAGTCTTAAAGCATAAACTATAACAGACCGATTTTACAGGTTGATTAGATTATATGTTTTATTGGCGACAACAACCCACGCTACGCCACTGCAAGACCTTACCTTAAGTTAAGTAATGAAACGGTATCAGCACAGAGTACCTTTAGGCCGGTTTTAGAGCTCGACCGACCGTCAGTGCGTACCATCGGTCCTGTCGATACACATAACCGATCGTCAGTTTGTAGCGTTCAGAGCTCTCCTGAGCAACTAAACTGGCCGGACTGGTACAGTCATAAACACGTACACGAAATGGATGCGTTAATTGTTTAATTGCTGCTTACTATGTTCGTAAACGTATAAGGAACAGAAGACGAAGATATCAGGTTCACCCAATCATCGTCCAAAGAGCACTTCAAGGGGAATTTACTACTTTATATCTATTATTGCGCGAAGATGAAGATTTTTTTTAATTATTTTAGAATTTCAATCAAAAGTTTTGATGAATTATCAGTGAAATTACAAGACAACTTAAAACATCCGCGAGGCGTTCGGTGTCGACATATGCCATGTTTGATAAAAATTACTTAAATCACTAAAACTACTTAATACCTATAAAATCATACAATATTACTAAAGTTTAGGTTCGATTTTCTTGACGATGATACACGCATCCGTACGGTCGGTGTAGCACTGAACGCGTCAGTATGTTTCCGTAGCGCGTCGGTCGACCGACGGTACGCATGCAGACGTGCTCGACCGACGGTCCTCGTACGCAGTGCGTAGCTACATACGCGTGCGTACGGTCGGTCGAGCACTGTAACGACTTGTGAATTTTCATACAAAAGGCAAGTGCGACCGACGTACGCACCGACGGTCGGTCGAGATCTAAAACCGGCCTTAGTAATCAGAGTTTATAGACGTTAAAATATAATGTACGAAGTACAATCTCAATCTTAGTAAACTATAGAAAAATAGTTGAACGTACCATCGCATAACTACTACCTTACCATTCTAGGACACTCGTCTGGTGACTGAAGAGATGATATAGCAAGCAAGAAATAAAACAAAACAATAAGCATAAACTAAACGCGACATTGTCCTTATTAAATGGTGGATTTTATTTTGTAGTAATTTCTACGATATTCGGACTAGTGGCAGAGATAAATGTTGGCATCGAACGCTCTGTGCGTATGACGTCGAGGATGTCACAAGTGGTCTTGACGTGCGACGTGCTCGTAGTAGTGGTAACCGCCGGTGCTGGAGTCTACGGTGCACCGAAGAGGATGCGAAATATGCTTAAGTTTATGGACAGTGTCGCTTCTGTAAGTTCTGTTTGATCTTGTATTATCAATTAAACTATCATCAATTAATTAAATATGGAGAAATTTACTGTTTCTGTTTTTATAGAAATAAGAGTGAAAACGAGCACAGCGTCCACGTGATGGTGTGGCCGCGGTGGCCTGCAGACACATACTCACTATCTAGTATCTACCCTCGATTTAAACTAAAAAAATCATAGTTTCATTTGCATTTGGAGCATCAGCCCTGACTCGTTATGTAGACCGATTTTAGGGATTGGTAATTTTTCCACTGCTAAGTAAAATTTGGCCTTCAAATCCAAATTAACTTTTCATATTTACCTATATTCCTAGATTAAATGATATATGATACGTAATATTTCATTTCATTCGCGCGAGTCGTATTCGCACTTGTCCGATTTTTATTAATAAGGTCTGTTCAATTACTCTTGATATAAATGCTTCAAACTTTCAGGTAGACCATAGCATCGGCGCCTACTATTCCCGTGCTACGGAGCGCAAATTATGTGGGATATTACTCGCATTCCTAATCTTCTTCTCTATTCTTCTTGCCGATGACTTTTGTTTCTATACTCTGCAAGCTTCAAAATTCGAAAGAGAGTGTAAGTTATTTGCAACAGTGCAAAGAATATTACGAAAGTAGCATATTAAAACAAAATGATATTTTAGAACACACGTCATAAACTCTAAAAAAGCATGTACAAAATAGGCAGATGCAGAGGAAATACAATATACGCCATGTCAAACAAGCATGTTATAGCAAGCAATACTGACAAAATTAACCATGTTAACTTTCTATAATCGTTAACGCAAAACTACAAAAAAACAACGAAATAAACGTTCATGGCTTAACGTTGAGACATGTCATTCCTCAAAGTTAAGCCGTTACCGGTCTGAGTATTTTAAATCTGATGATACCATTACCGTTTACCGTTACCGTCATAGCCCATCAAAAGCCAAGTTACTGGTTAACATAGCCCTTTCGTATACATTGCCTCATAGAGGGGATATTTGCCATAGTTGCCGCACTTGGTAGGCGGGTTGGCAACTGCAGTTATTTTAAATCTGATGATACCATTACCGTTTGCCTTTACCGTCATAGCCCATCAAAAGCCAAGTTATTGGTTAACATAGCCCTCTCGTATACATTGCCTCATAGAGGGGATATTTGCCGTAGTTGCCACACTTGGCAGGCGGGTTGGCAACTGCAGTTATTTTAAATCTGATGATACCATTACCGTTTACCGTTACCGTCATAGCCCATCAAAAGCCAAGTTATTGGTTAACATAGCCCTCTCGTATACATTGCCTCATAGAGGGGATATTTGCCATAATTGCCACACTTGGCAGGCGGGTTGGCAACTGCAGTTATTTTAAATCTGATGATACCATTACCGTTTACCGTTACCGTCATAGCCCATCAAAAGCCAAGTTATTGGTTAACATAGCCCTCTCGTATACATTGCCTCATAGGTGGGATATTTGCCATAGTTGCCACGTTGCTGCCCATCTCCTGGTGTGATTTTCTCTGTCGCCTCTTACGAGAGCCGCGAAATTATATGGGCTATTCTTACACTTCTTATTTCATATCCCAACATTAATAAAGTAGTATTTTTACGTGGTAGAGCCATTCTGCAGCTATATTGTGGTGGCAGCACGAATGGATCGGCTCGACTGGGAATGAACCACGCTCTCACAGAATACCAGCTTAATGCTGTTGTGTTTCGTATGGTGAGTGTAGAGAACCGGACACCCTTTTTACTGGAAACGAGACATTCCATCTCAGTCCTCAGGGCTGAAAACGCATCTGCATTATTAAATGAAGATAAATATAGATGTCTATGGGCCGCAGCATTCACTTACCATCAGGTGGACTGTGTGCTCGGTTTGTCACCGTTATTCTACAAAAAAAAAAACGTGTAACATTATCTTCTCCATTATTCATTACTCCTCTAACGAATTAATAGATTTACAAAAATATTGTCTAACCAAAAGTAAATATTTAACCTTTTCAAATAACAACAAATAACAGGTCATGTTATTAAAGGAAATCTATTCCGTCGACGTTACAATGAATATATTGATAAAAGATAGAATTCACAACTGCTATTTCATTACACACGTGTACACAGAGTAGTAGGTCCGGAAATTACAAACGCATAGCAACATTGTTGACATGGAACACAAATCGTCTAATGTATGGTCGCGGGAATTTACCGACATTAAGTTACAGTTACCGTTATAGCTTGTTAAAGTCCAATGCTGAACATAAACCTTCCCACAATTCGGTCGTTGATGATATACGAGTAAACAAGATGTTACGTCACTATCCATCGGAGTTCGGAGTTTGTTGCATTTCCCATAGTCGCTTATTACGTGGCGTATACTTTATCTAATTTTTAGTTTTTACGTTGGTCGACTTCCTTTTTTATCGTAAAGAATAAAGGAATGATATCATTGTAAAATATGTACTACTATTTTATTTTTTTAACATCAGGAGAAGCTTTTCTAACTTATTGGCTATTTCTTATTTTTAAACTTAGTAAATCAACAAAAAAGACAATGATTATGGTAATTTATTAACATAGTCGTAAAACTAACACCCTAAATGTATACTGACCCATTTTCCTCGATACCATGCAATGTTTTTCCGCGTATTCGGTACCAAACATTCATATTTAGCAATATTTTAATACGCTACAAGGCTACAACATAGGCCGTATGGGAAGTATATAAGTACAATATTTGTACTTAGATACTTCCTCAATAATAAATATTATTATCGTTCGATGTTTCATCGCGTCGCGTTATTGTTTTGTCGCTCACTTATAACAACGGAACAGCGTTGTTCTATAATATGAGGCACCACATCACATTTGATATTTTACAGGGAATTTTGTGATCAACTACATCGGATTCTATTTGCTGTGGTATGCGGCAATGATCATAGAGTTGCAGTTCGCTTTCACGGCGCTATCCATTCGCGCGCGCTTTCAAGCTGTCAACGATGTGCTAGCTTTGACAGCGAAGATTGTTTCTGCGCCAGGTATCCATCTTGTTGTTAACCCACATACACATCACACAACGAAACAAATTATCTATAATCACATAGATTTTTTTCGAATAGACAAACTCACCGTGACTTTTTAACACTTTACAATGAAGTTAAGTTGTACTATAAATTATTATAAAATATATTTATTAAATATATATTTAAATCTGGGAAGCGATCACTTCATTCGCATCGTAATAACCCTTTTTATAGAGCTGTGATAGCTACGGGGCTAACCCGAGCTACTCAGTTTCAATCCCCACCAGCACCAAATATAAAAAAAAATATTTCGAAGACATACGAATTCCGCCAAAACTCAATAGGGCGCCGCGACTGAGACTTACTTGCCCTCTTAATCCCTCTCAGAAATGAGGAAAGGTCAAGAATGTATAAAGGCTGTAATTTTAACTTTAACCCTATTACTAGAATAAGTAATACAAGCGAGTACACAATCCTCCTGATGGCAAGTGGATGCTATGGTTCATACATCTATCCTCGATTAACAAATTGCAGATGGGCTGTATATCCTGTACACTGTTATGAAATGTCTCGTTACCAGTAAAGGTGGTCTCTGATTCTCTACACTTACTACGAGTATACAAAACACAGCAGTATTATGCTGATAATTACCCGACTGGCCTAGAAGGATAATGTTTCTTAGTGTATATATACCATGTATGCATGTGGACAGACTTGACGGTTTTTAACACTTCATAGGATGTCGTTAGATTCGTCTTAGGCCGCTTACTGACTTTTCAGATACGCACCGCTCCCGCACCGAAAAGTCAGTAAGCGGCCTTAGTTGTAAAAGTTACGAAGGATATAATTTGTCTCTTTATAATTATCGTTTTAACAGTTGGACTTGTTTAAACTGGTATACTGTGAGTTTTTAGTCTAGATTTTACTATTATTGGGTATTTTCTGTGTTTTTGTAAAGAAATGACCTTTGTTGCATGCAGGGACATTGCCCCATAAATAAATATATAGAGGCGTGTAACTGGTCTCTCTTAGGTTCTTGGTATAATAAAAATGTGAAAAAATTACAGTTTAAAATTGAGGAATACTCGTAAGTATTAAATTCTACAAAGAATTTAAATAAAAGCGTACAAATTCTACAATATTAAATTGGAGTGTAATTTTATGTGTAATTTAGCATAATTTAGGGGGGAGGGAGGGGGCGACAGAATAATAATTGTGTAAGAATAGATTGCATTAGACCTTTTCTATATGTTACTTTCGTGTTTGCACATATTATATTATTACTATCCCGTTATCTAAATAATACCATCCATGTTGCAACAGCGGTAAGCACTAAACACTAATCATTTATGACTTTATAACATGATTCACATAGCTTACATTGTAAGTTAAAAGCATAAACATATATTCAATAAAAATTATTGATATAAAATATTATGCTTAGTTACATTTTCTGTCATGACTACGAACTAAATATACCATCGCCATCATATATCATACGCCATCTTGTTACAATATTATTTTGAAAAGCTGTCTTATCTGACGGTAAGCGGCTACTGCAGTCTGTCGACATCTTTTTTTATAAAAATAAATTAACAAGCGGACTTACAGTCAGTGGCGTAACAATAGGGTGGCAGGCCGGGTAAAATGTCACGGGCCCACAGCCGGACTCCGGCCTTAGAGGGCCGTGAGGACCCTAACATTTATTATTACAACATTTAGTAAAATTTATAAGTTTTATCTATAATTAATTTAAGTTACCTATATATTAATTAAATAAAGAAATGTACTTATAAAAATTCCAAGGCATTTGTTGGAAAAGATATCACCCAGTTAGTTTTTGAACTTGCTAAAAATTTAAATTTGTTAGGTAGTTAATGATGCAATAAAAGAGGTTATAGAAATGCAAGCATTCAACATTCTGTGCAACAAAAAAATTTTTGCAAATGTTGGATTGAACAAATTTTTTGAGGAATCGATCTTTTAGACCTCGATTTTTTTTCAATCGATTCATCAGATTTTGTTTCGAATCGATTTAAAAATAGGCCTTATTCGGAAAGAAAAGCCATCCCAATTACAGTGCACATAGATAATGTCAAGTAGCTACTGTAGTCCATGGACACCTGCAGCTAACTTCATACACTAAAGGCTACAGATGAGTTGCACATCTTAGTCCTCTGGAGGACTAAGATGTTATGTCTTACAGCCTGTAAATATACTGGCTCTCTATTCCTGAAAACTGTGTTGCAGTTGCTATTAACGTCTTCTTTCCAGAATAAAAGGTATAGCAATCTTTTCGAACAGTGAGTTAAATTGATTACAAAAATAATAAAAGTACACTTCATGAAACTTAAAGAATAAAATATTTTTTCATTAGGACGTTGTGCTAACACATAGCGTATTGAAGGATTAAAGCCCCGACTTCGGCATTTTTTATAGGATAAGAGTGACAAACGAGCGCAGAGTTCACCTGATGGTAAGTGGATGCTGTGGCCCATAAACTTCTACATTTAACCTCAAGAATAAAAATACAGATACGTTGTCACCCGTTAGGACTAAGATGGAATGCCTCGTTTCCAGTAAGTCTCCGTTTCTCTACACTCACCATACGAAACACAGCAGCGCGCAGCGTTTAACTGCTATTTTAAGTTGGTATTCTGTGAGAGCGTGGTCCATTCCCGGCCTAGCCAACCCATTCGTGCTACAAATAAGATACGTGAGGGTAATATGGTCACCTTAAGCTTTGTCGCCCTATAAATCCAAAACTAGCACCAGGATATAGACAAAAACACAACCTTGTGTACTATAACCAATATATTAAGAAAAAAATAGCAAATAATCTTTGGGACCACCTTTGAAGTATTCGGTCCTTACATATGAAATTAGCGTTTTTTCGTACTGTCCACTTTGATCTGAAATATCTCCTCGTTTGGTTAAGAATTCCAAATTCAAATTTCTAAATTCATTTAGCTGGTACATTTGATTTTTGAAAACAGTCATTCATTTGTTTTTTCCTTCTTATTTCTTTTTTTGGCGTTGCTTATTACCGCACAATGGAAAACATGAATTATCGGTATATTTACGAGTACGAGTACTACCGTAGCACCAGTGCTGCAAAAACAGTTCGAACGATTAATGATGTGTACGGGGCTGGTTTTGAAAAAGAATGCATGGTACGTTTTTGGTTTCAACGTTTTCGTTCTGGAAATTTTGACCTTCAGAATCAACCCCGTGGACGGCCCAAGACCAAAGTGGAAAATGTAGAATTAAAGGCTATTGTGGAAGCGGATCCATCACAAAGCACTTCAAAGGTAGGTGTAGGCTTCGGGGTAAGTGATAAAACTGTATTAATCCACTTGAAGCAAATCGGGAAAGTAAGAAAACCTGAACGATTGGTACCTCTTTAATTGAGTGAATCGAACTTGCAAACACGCGTCGACTGCTGTGTTATTTTGCTTAACCGACACAAAAATAAAGGGATTTTAAATCGAATCTTTCCTTGTGATGAAAAATGGATATTGTACGATAATCGGAAGCGCTCGTCGCAATAACTAAACCCTGGAGACTCGGCCAAATCCTGCCCTAAACGAAAATCGACTCAGAAAAATTTACTTGTCAGTGTTTGGTGGACTAGCGCCGGTGTCGTTCACTACAGCTTTAAATTAAACTAAACGATTACAGCAGATATCTATTGTTAGCAACTGCAAACCATGAAGGAAGAACTGGCTGCTAAACAACCGAGATTGGTCAATCGCTCTAGGCCACTGCTGCTTCACGACAACGCAAGACCACACACTGCACAACAAACAACCACTAAGTTAGATGACCTACAATTGGAATGTTTGCGATATCCACCGTACTCCCCTTAAAAAATTTAATCTGTTGGAGCAAGGTCGCTCCAACAGATTAAATTTTTTTCCGGAATTTGGACAACTTCTTACAAGGAAAAAAAATTCAACTCCGATGCGGCAGTCCAAACCACCTTCAAAGAGTTTATTGATTCTCGCTCACATGGTTTTTTTAGTAAAGGGATCAATGAACTACCTATGAGATGGCAAAAGTGCATAGATAACAACGGTACATACTTTGATTAATTAAATATATTTTACAAAAAAAATTACTTTATATTCCTCTCGTACGAAACGCCAATTTCATATATAAGGACCTATTATAACCTTAGTATTTATTAAAAAAAGAATCATAAAAATCGGTTGTAAATCGATGAAGGTATCCCGTAACATACATAAAATAAAAGAAAACATGCAAATAAAACTGTTTAATTCCAGTAAGGAAAGTTAATGATCCGTCCACGCTTAACATATTGGCAATTCGCGTGGCTGCTACATCGGAACCGCGCCGCTGTGGCAACGTCAGTCTTCTTGTGGACAAACTACACGAGCGAGACCATGGCGTTATAATTCGCAACACTGGTATTATATCATGTATAACATAACCAATTTTTTGTTCTAGTGACAAATGACTAACGAACTTACAGTCTACCTGATTGTAAGTGTCTGCAGCCAATGGACACCTGCAACTAACTTTAAACGAAGAAAGCTATATATGCGTTACTCTATGCTATACGCGTCAGACTGAAACAAAGCAGCGCACGCACTACTATATCGCGGTGGAAACTTGGTAACTGGCATGGGCAACTAACGTGTGGACGCGACTTGCCGAGTGCAGGCGAGGGCCTCTGATTTATGCAGAAAACCGATACTGTTCCGAAGTGGACGAGTCGTCACGAGCGATTCCGAATGGCGGCAAGGCACGCCAAACGAACCGTATACACGTTGGTGCTCGCCTGCACTCGGCCAGCTAGGCGAGCGTCGACGAGCAATGGCGAGGCTGGACAAATGGGCTGTGTGGACGTTGGTGCTCGTCTTCGCTCGGCCAACATGTATAGCTAGCCGGCTTAAGAGATTGGTATCCAATCCTTTCCCAGTAAAGGTCCCATTCGTGCTGCATTATTAACAACTGTAGAATGACTATCTTTTTCATCGTCTTCATTGTCAGTCCGCAAAAGACCATTCCTGAACACGGACTTTTTCCGTTGTAAAAAAGGTTTTTCTTGATTCTGCCACGCATTATAGTCATTGCCGGCCTGGGTATTTCTCGATGAATCTAGCATCAACGAGAGGGTCATATCGCCATTCAATATGCCCTTTAGATTATTCTGAAATTTTCTATCGTCGATATGAAATTGGGTAATAGATTTTCTTACGTTGCTACCACAGAGCAATATACATAAATATAATATACAAATTTAAATGTGAGGTGAAGTAGTCAATAACTGCACTCAATAAAAACTTTTAGATCGTTTAACACTTTGCAGTGACTGGTGACCCTCGTCTCGTGGTACCTCCTTGCGAAGCGATCCGCAGGCTGGCATGCTTACACGGAGCGCTCTGCGACGTTGTGCAGGATCTCGACCAAAGCTATGGTCTGCCACTGATACTGATTCTGATATCAACATTACTGCACTTGATTGTAACACCGTACTTTTTGATTATGGAAATCAGTAAGTAAACAAGATTTTTGTCCAGTACTCGTGAACTTCTCCACACTTATTACATTATTCTCCTTTATTAAACCGTATAAGTCTATAGTTTTTGCAATTTAAACGTGCGGTCGATGTTTGGACGTGGTTTGACATGTACATGCACAGTGAAAGAGTGTGCACGTACCTACATGTCGGACCATATCCAAAGGTCGACCCTTTGAAATCAGTACCTAAGTATACAAGATTTTTGCCCAGTACTCATGAACTTCTCCACACTCATTACATTCTTATCCTTTACCAAACCGTACAAGCCTATAGTTCTTGCAATTCACGATTACGGTCGATATTTGGATGTGATTTTCACTGACACTCTTACGCTGTGCATGTACATGTCAAACCATTATCCAAATATCGACCGCAATGGTGAATTGCAAAAACTATACTGAACGTGGGCCTCTTTCTAGGGAGAATTCACCTCATCGTTAAGCTTAGTAGACGCATTGGTAACCGCAATACACACCACGTTCACATCTTTAAGCTACTTCCCGTTGCCGGTCTAAATGTTTTAGGATTGGCGTAAGCGAGTAAGTTATCTGAACATCTATCGGAAACCATAAGATCTTATAGGAATTTTCCATAGGGTTCTTTTGACTTTGCTTCAGCATCACGGAACATACTAAGATTGTAAGTTTACCTGTCAACCGTGCCGATTAAAGCAAATCCTTCCAACAACATGTGGTCCAAATTTCAGCTTTATATGAACTGACAAAGAAGAACATAATGTTATTAAGTTGTTGCCGTGGTCGAAAATTGGCCAAATGGACATCGTCGTCATATGTTTACTTGTGTGCAATTTATTCCAGTTGTTTCGACGAACAGGACTCACTTCCTCGTGCTGCAATTCCTGTGGTGTGCAACGCACATGCTGCGCATGTTTGTTGTGGTAGAGCCATGTCACTATACAATTGTTGAGGTAATTTAATGGTCTACTTTGCTTCTTTGGTCAACCTTTTTAAGTACCTACATCAGTAGCCTTAGGCGTTTCTAATGGCTCCGCCCACTATTCTCCTCGCGCTGCCGCTGATGATGAGATGTAGCCCTCTCTACCCACACACTGCTCTAATCGCGCAATTTTTGACGACTCCGTGGCGCAGTGGCTTAGCAATGAGTGGCTGCGCTGCGGGTCGCGGGTTCGAATTCGGCACGGAACAAGTATTTGTATGGCCTACAAGTAATTGTTCCGGGCCTGAATGTTTCTCCTTGTGCAATTTATGTTTGTAAACTACCCCCACAATACAGGAGAAAATCCTAGTGTAGAGGTAACATTTTAACACAAAATTAAAAAAAAAATAACACGACGCTCGGCACTAGGTCGCTCGCGTTTGCAACACAATGGTTGTCGAAACAGTGACAGCATGCGCTATATGCATATTTAATATAGCTAAATATATAAATGTTTTACAAAAGAAATATACGTCGTCGTCCACCCCAACTGAGGTGGTGGATGACATTTCTATTCATCACAATAGAGCTACGCTTCCGTAACGAGCGCTTGATTCAAACTACGGTCGCGGGTTTATGTGGCCAGTCACTCACACTCATATTGCCAGTCCTTTGACTCGCACCCATAAAACCGACAAAACAGAGAGGTATGGGCATGACGTGCGGCATGGCGAATATTGTTGCCATACTACGTCTCTGCCTCCTTTCTTAGCTACTTCCTATGTCACTCGACGAGTGTGACAGGGAGGTAATATGGAAAGGTAATGCGAAGGTTAACACGCATTCATTTTATGATACAGTGAAACTTGATGTGTTGGGATTAATTGGATCATCATGTTTTTCACGATTTCGGCAGAATGAATAAATACTTATTTAGTTCACTTATTTGCTTTGTCACACGATTATGCATGAGCGAAGAGTCACAAAGCAAATTTATGCTGCGGAAGTGAGTGACCGAGTCGGCGAACGACAATCTAAATGAAAGTTGTTATCGACCAAATTATATCGCGACCTTAATTTGGCTCATTTGGCCAAATTAGGATATGGATCTGAAAGATAAAAGAAACAACAACAAACAACTCCTTACACGACACAGATACCTAATAAGAACGGATTTTATAGAACTTCAAGTTTTTGAGGTGGTGCTGTTGTCGAGGTCCAGAAATCACCCATGCGAAGCCGAGACAGATCGCTCGTATTAATCTGAATCATAATATGAAATTGACGGTTCTAGATACACAAAGGAAAAGCTTAGCGCACATATATCATATCTGCCCTTTATCGTTACAGTCTATCTAGTCATCTAAAGTCCACTGCTAAACATGGGCCTCCCCACTGATTGCTGTACTACGTTACTTACCTCCTGGTTTGCTCCCTTCCGACGCCTACAATATGGATATGGATATAAGGTAGTGGATATTCTTTCACTGCCACTACACGGCTCTTTATAATATGCTGTAACAGGGGCGTTTCAGGGGGGGGGGGGGAGCTGCTTCCCCCCCCCCCAGTTTTATGTCTAGTACAGTCAAGAGTTCGCAGAGCTTTACACATTTGTACCGTTCATATGACAATCGCCGTAAAGGTAAGACTCCCAACAGAAGTTTAAAGCTTCATGTGGTCGTGAACTTACACTTTTCTATCCAATATATGAACTTCCCCTCCCTCCCCCCCCCTTGATTATCGACTGGCGGCGACCTTGTGCTGCAATACTTTCAGTCACAATTCGCAACACTCTAAACATAATGAATGAAAATATTTAAGAAAATGTTGTAATATATCCATTACAATAAGAATTGCAGTTCTGTGTTATAGTAAATGATGTAAAACTATTTCCAGGGTAAAAGAACAGAGGATCTGGTTTCTCGGCTGATGAGAACAGCGCCTTCTAATGGCAGCCTACCGACGCGACTTGAAGTATTCTCGAGACAACTTTTGCTACAGTCTATCGCCTATTCACCAATGGGAATGTGTACGCTGGATCGTCCTTTAGTTGCCTCTGTGAGTTTATACATATCTACAGTTCTTTTACAAGATTTACCAACAGGTTGAGTAGGCTAGAGCCTGGGATGGCAGATTGCAGGGGCGGCAAATTTGGGGCCAAAGTTTTTTTATGTCTTACAGAAACTAGGTCCACATAAATAACAACATGTAATAATATGTTTCATCACTTTTTTCTACAATTTGCGTAGTCGCGTGTGGTTGTGACGCGGAAACGAGTAACATAACCGTTCGCTAAGTGTGTTTGGCCGAAATACCTGCCGTATATAGTATATTATCCTCGCCTCGGCTGCGCACAGGTGATTTTTAGATCTTGACAACATATGCATGTATTATACACATAAACCTTCCTCTTGAATCATTCTGTCTATTAATGAAAACAGCATCAAAAACCGTTCCGTAGTTTAAAAGATCTAAGCGTACAGACGGCGGGAAGCGACTTTGTTTTATACTATCTAGAGATGCTGATGAATTGACTGAACAGGCGCAGCGCGGCGGTGCCGCGGGAACCGAAATGGGTTGAAAGCATTCAACGCGTGGTGACATTGAGTTCAAAATAATATATATGTATAGAGTGGCGACACAAAGGGGAAAATCTCGTCCCGTAAATACATACTTCAAAAACAAAAAGCCACCTCGGTCGAATCCTAGTACAATTTCTAATACGTAGGTAAGTACTAATATTTCTCTGGCACAGTTTTCTGAAAATTACATATTGGAGAGACATTCAGAAAAGGGTTGTTGCTCTAGCATGATAATGCCGGTATATAATGGCTAAAAACTAAAATTCAAAGCCAAGCACCTTTTGCTTTTTTCGTTCCTTCTCTATGGAAAATGCGGGGATTTTTAAAAACGATAGCCCGGGCCAAGTCAGTACCTTTTTTCAAGAAATCTAAATACTTACCTAAATATTTTTGTTAGGTTATTTATGAATATCGAATGACTCCCTTTTTTTAATTATCTTCATTGCACCACATTTAATTTTCGGATTTATTTCGGCAACTTTTGTGTATCATCCATTTTTTATATTTCAGTTTGCTTTTCATTTCTTTATCGTTTAATTTTAAAGCAGAGTAAATGCAGATATTGTGGTCCTTTTTAATAACAAGCGAAGGAATTAAAAATACTCCATGGAGTAAAATGCTTGTTACAAAAAACAGAGTGTGGAAAAAAATTCAGTAAAAAAACATAAGTTAAGAAACAAATCTTATAAAATTTGTTGAAAACTGATTCATTTCTTAAAATCAAAATTTAGGGGAATTTGTGGGGAATCTGTGAAATTTTTGTCCCCAAATTGGGGAATTCGACAGTTTGATGTTGGCAACGCTGCACATGTTGCACCGTAATTTACCTACGAAGATTTGCACGCGACATAACAATTAAAGGCGGCAATTACAATAAAACTTGCAAGTAATTTTTAATAGTTTTGATGTACCTCTGTTTAAAATCAAAGATTATACGGATTAAATACGGAAAGTCAATTAAAATAAAGTAACAGAATTATTTTTTAGATTAATTATGATAGAATAATTAACAGTCGATCATAATTGCAATTGATTTTAACTATTAAATTATTCAGTACCATTTCATTTTTTTTTTTCAAAGATAACGATGAAATAGCGTTTATAATTGTGTGTTTTAGTTATAGATGTTAACATCGTTGGAGCAATAGAAACTGAGATAATTGCGATAAACTTTTTTTACCTTTGACTTTGTATAACTCAGGACGTAACACGAGAAATGTGTATTCAATCTTGAGTATAGCAGTTCACTTGCACCGGCTACCAATTTTTCGGATGAGAGAAGCTTTTGTTTTTTAAAACTGGTGCAAAATTAACTAAGATCAGCCTAAAGTTAAACGCCTTAGCTCTTTTGTCCATATAGACAGAACTCGAACCTAATGAACAAGATTTCATTAACATTTTTTCACAAATACTTTGCAAATCAAAAACTACGATAAAAGGTGTCGTAAAACTTGAATTTCATCGTCATTATCACCCGAATTGTTACTAGGTAATTCAATATATTGGTTTTAAAAATCTAAAAATTATTTAATTACGTTTACCGAATGTATATTATTGTGTAAGTAGTATTCAGTTCATTCATACCTTATCCTTTATTAGAAGTATGATTGAGCTTTCATTGGCTCAAAAATATACCCAAAAACTATTTCTTGTGCAAGCTTAACTAAAAATTTGGGTTTTAAAAATAATCTAGGAACTTACACATCGATCCACTAATTCACAATAATTACACTAATTACGTAAAAAGGGTGGTGTAATTAGAACGATAGTGCACAAATCATAAAGTTACAATTTAATTAACAAAAAAATTGTAATCAATATGATTGTGAACTAGGACATCGAATTGTAGAAGATCGGTAGGGGCAGTAAAATTTGAATAGCCTAGAAGCTGTAAATGTGTGAATCCGCCACTGCATTTATATTATATAAAAGAGCAAAATTGCAGTTTATTTAATTGTAAGTGACCAACACAAACTGACAACCCAAAGATTCTCGAGTGGCATTCATGTACCGTACTAGATGGAGTGACAAAGACATGCAGGCAGTTGATGGATGCTGGTGGCGCAGGACCGTGCTTTGTAGCATTACTTGATAAAGGCCTAAGTTCAGCAGTGGACTTCTGAATAGCTGTAATAAATAAATTGTATTTTCACCTTTCAATGTAAACTACGTGATTAATGTCATAACTGATTAGTGCTATTACTTGCCGATGTTGCAATGTAGCTGGATACTATTAAGATAACAATAATATATTTGCAGTTAACAAAGTAAATTATTAATTAAATCCCAGCGAAATCAGAAAATAAGGAAAAAATGTCTGCCTGATGAACCATAATGATGACGTAATTTGATGTACCTATAACTTACCAGCGAACCGCCCCGGCTTTATATATGTGACTTCTGGATATTAACAATAACCTACCGGTTCCAATTGTGAATCTAAACCATTATCACATCAATTTAATCACACGCACAAGATTTCATCAAAATCCGTCCAGCCGTTTAGGAGTTCAGCCAAATACACACGAACAGAAGAATTATAAATACCTTATCCTATTTAAAAAAAAAAGATAAATGGGTATAATTTATTTGTTACAGGTACTTGGCGCTGTAACAACTTACCTCGTGATTCTCATACAGTTTCAAAGATATGATAGTTAAATTGAGAAGTCTATTATGTAAAACTCGATGTAAAAAAAATTACAACCTGCAACCTTTCTTACTAATAAAATTACACCTCTCAATGTGTATTTGGGTATTATCTTCGTTGGAAATAGTTTTCTATACAAAATATATTATTTTCATGTAAACCAATAATTATTAGTTGGATCCTTTTATTACAATATAAATATTATACCTAATTCTTTTATACGGAGAAGGTAAAAGAGTGGTCCTAAAGCTGGTCCCTGTGGGACGCCCATCTTAAAAAATAAAAAACTATAACTATTAAATATCCTATTCTCGGTTTGAGATGTTGATTTAACAGTTTATATGTGACTGAGGAATAAATATTCTAAAATCTTCAGAAAATTTCACATTATATAATATTACTATGGATTATTTGCGGTAGTTACTAATAGAATGGTCTGATTCTAATCAAGACAAATAAAAGAAACAAAAATTTTAATTTAAAATTGTATATTTTATTAAGATAAAAGTATTTTATTAGAAAAATCTTCGACATATTGATACTTAACAAGGCTATATCGAAATGGTCGTCTATACACCAACTATACAATGCACAGCACATATCAATCTATCCAAATGTGATCCAATATTCTGACACTCATAGGAACATTTGCACCTTATAGTTATTACATCTAACTACATCGTTAATTGCCTAGCGTGAATTCTTCCAGCTTCAGGTTAGGAATAAACCAAATATATGACATTCTAATGTTATTTTTAATCCGTGTCGGATGTAATCGTGTTAAATTTGTTACTTTTTAAATGTTACATACATTTCATTCTTCAAACTCTGTGTACACGATATAACAGAAGTTCCAATTTAACTTAATTAGCAACAAGCTTATTCATTGATACTTGAATTTGAAAAAAAAAGTTTAGCTGTAAGAACCACGCTCACAATGAGAAAGGGAGCAAAGAATATCTACAATATATTTTCGACTCACACCTAATCACTATTTTAATACTTTCCATCAAACCTTTCCACTTTTGTACACACAACAACCTCGCAAACTCTTCTGTCAACAATAATATCAATTTATATAAAGCTATGTATTTTAAATAATGTATGGGACGGTATATAATATAATTTATTTTTATATTTATCATTCATCTTTTTGTAACTATTTTAGTAACAAAAAACATGTATAAATCAACAAACGAAACCAGTTTAATACCATTATAAGTATTTGCTTTAAATAGTGTGAATGCTTCCGAATATTCAATTATTTCTGACAGCTGCTTAATGTGTCTGAACGATAAATGTATCATAATTAGCATTCCGTTATTCCGTTACCGAAGGGTTGTTATGTGTACTTAGTGAAAACCTAAAAATAAAACGTAACATAGAATCGACTTTAAAACATATACAATATTATAAAAACGACAAGTACATTTGACGAAGGCAAACGTGAACACAAATTATATGGTGTTTACTCTTGTACTTCTAAAAACTTTTGATTTCATTCGATCTACACACAACGACCAAGCATGATAAGACCAGAGTATAAAAGTATACCAGAGATTCACAAAATGAATCAAAAGATTATCAACAACAGATTCCATATATGTACTTCCATAAAGACTTTTACAGTAATAAGTTGTGCAAACATAGCGTCAATCACTGCATTACACTGTAGGTTATTCGTCAATCACAACCGATTGTTGTAAAACTGACAGCTTGCATGAGCGTGTAATGTACGCCATAGAAATCCTAATTTCGGAACGAATCAAACCAATAATGCCTTCTCTAAATATCTATCTCTTATTGTAAATATGTTATATTACATACACGAAACTATGTATCCACTATAAACAATCTTATAAAGAAATTGCACTTAAACATATCACTTATATATAATAGCTAATACTTTCACAATCTATTATGTCAATCTTTCTGAACAATAATTTTAAATGCAACTTTTCGATCCAAAAGCACTTTCCTTGATAAAGCGTCTGCATAACGGACTCATCGATTTATTTTATTATACAAAATTCAAAATTGTGTTTTTCCAAGTTCAAACACATGTCAGATCTACTCACTGAAACAAACTTTGTACTTTTAACTTGGGCAAGTACTGCGGCTGCTCTTGTTTTATAATTTTCACCTGAAATTTTAAATGACATAGTAAGTACTCTCGCCACGTGGTGGCGGCGTAGGGGAATCCACTATCCATAACAACCTGTGAGTATCGTACGGAAAATGAAACAAATCAAAATAATGAATAGGTAACTGCGGTCGCCAACCTACTGTAAAGCGTGGACAATTATGGTATATACCCCCCTCCCTCCCTCCTTGAGGAAATCTATGGGTGAGGCATTTTTAGGCTATCATGATAATTATGATGATTATGACGATGGTGATGGTGATGACGATGATGGTGATAGCAATGATGATAATGAATAAATGTGGCAAGTAGCATAAAATAGTTCCATCACCCTAAATCAACCTACGGATGTCGTAAGAGAACTACTTAGGATAATAACCAGAACTTTGCCTCTGATAGATGACGGTATAAAAACCACAAGGTGTAAAATACCCATATCGGCGACGCGAAGCAACGTCAAAGACGTCTGATACAACAATGGCCAATCCAGCCTACCATGCGTAACGATTAGGAGAAGGACATCGAAAAAGGAGAAGGACATCGAAAAAGAAGGACATCGAAAAAGGAGAAGGACAACGAAAAAGGAGGACATTGAAAAAGGAGAAGGACATCGAAAAAGGGGAAGAACATTGAAAAAGGAGAAGGACATCGAAATAGGAGAAAAGATTTCACTGTTATATATGCATACTAGCGATCCGCCTTGGCTTCGCACGGGTGATTTTTGGATTTAGACAACATATGCATGTATATAATACATGCATATGTTGTCGAAATAATCAATCAATCGAAGTCATATAAACCTTCCTCTTGAATCATTCTGTCTATTAATGAAAACCGTGTCAAAATCCGTTGCGTAGTTTAAAAGATCTAAGCGTACAGATAGCGGGAAGCGATTTTGTTTTATACTATGTATATATTTGTATATTTGAGACAATTATGCCCAAATACTCAAACGCTTCTCAATTACAAGATGCTGCTAAATCTCGTGCTGTCTCTATTACTTCAAGTCAAAATGACTGTGACAGAACGAGACTTAACGAATTTTTGAAATTGAGTATTGTTTGAGTATTTGGCCATTAGTGTATCGAACGAAGTTAATAACTTTCAACAGTAATGAGGTTGGCGTCAATTTAAATGTGTACACATATACAAATATAATAAAAATTTTATACTATATACAACTAAACCCATCAACAGAATCTAGGGATACATTAATCCTAAATTATTTACAACTTTATAGTTTAAATTTTTTATAGATTCTATAAAAAATTAAGTTTAGTTTAAGTTAAACCTCTTTTATTATATATTCAAAATTTAAAAACGTTAATAAAAAAAAACAAAATACGGCGGCAAAATTGTTAGTAATTCGTTACGTCGAGGAAAATTAAAATTGTTCTACTGATATTAATTAATAAAAAGGGATTTGATTGTTTTATTTTTTGATTTAACGTAACCAACTGGTAAGCGACCAAAACGAAGAATGTTGCATGAAGTTGGTCTTCATGCTCGAAGACCGCTACGTGTTCCAGCACTGCGACGTGGTAATCGCGGTGGAGCGACGAAGAATGGTCTTTAGTGCTGTTCACCGATGAGTCCCGGTTTGGATTTCATCCGGATTCACGAAGAACACACGTTTTTGCAACCCCAGAGAGAATTAGCCATCTACTGCACCATCAGGAGATCCGCTTATACCAAGGCGGGACAATCATGGTGTGTCAATCAACCAATCGATGTCGATGTGTAATTAATGTAAGAGGTGGCAACACTGATTATTAATAATTAGATCTTATAAGATTTTTTCCATTTCAAATAAAATTAATAGTTTAATAGAAGAAATGTATTTTTGATCATACTAATTTTCTACGGCGACTAAAAAAAATAATTTTTTTTATTTAAACAAAAAAAATACGAAATATTTTTTTATTAAAGACCTTATAATAATAACCTATCATTGTTCCATTTACTATATCAGAAAATTGTTTATAGATTTTTAGGTTCTGTTGATGTGTTTATAGGCAGTCCCTACAATATTACGTGGTCTCCAATTGAGAGTATCCACCAATCGAATATGATACAGAATATCGATGCAGTTATACATAAGTGTAAGTATGTTCTATTTGTTATTAATTAAGTATGTCACAGATAATTAATTATAAACGCACCTCATCGTACATGGAATTCTCCTTCGGATCTAGCTCAAGTGGATCTTTCAAATGCTGTAAAGAAATAAATGTATGAATAATTCCCAAGTAATAAATCTTACGAGACATAGACACGAGTTTAGGAGCGCTTAGCACCATTTCAAAAGCGAGCTATCAGTATCCTTCAACGTCGGCACCAATTAAATTGTTCGATGCAGTCGGGCTGTATTTTAAGAATTAGCACATTTTCGGTGGTGAAAAAAAAACATCGTAAGGAAACCTACATGTACATACATACATACATAGCATCACGTCTGTACTGCCCAAGACAGTCTGGAGAGCAGTCAGCTACTCAAGCTAGTTTAGCCAAAAAGTTATAGGTTTGGATAGAAAGAAGTTGCCCATCGCCTAAAAAATCACATACTTAATATTTTATTAGTCGCTTTTAAGACGCTAGGTAAATAAAATAGCACAGTTGACACATTCGTTTTTGCTATAACTTCACATAATCCATGGGGCCTAAAAGTACCCGTACTACATGCGTCGTTCTTCCCCGGTCGAGTCGACCCATTTGTGTAGTTTCCTATCTGGTTGTAGAACTATAACATAGTTCTACCGCGCGGCCAGCACGCGCAGCTGGTGCGCACACAGCAGGTGCGCGCGCAGCAGGTGCTGTGCGCTCGCTGTCGGAACAGTAGAAGACACAGTGCGGGTGTGGGTACCTTAG